TTCTTACCCCCATAGATCCTCCTGTTCACTGTGTGGCCTTTTTTCCCCTCCCTGGCTGCTAAGGCAGAGAAAACTGCCCTCCACTTGATTATAGTATTAAGGTTGCTCTGCAGAAGGATTGTGTTCGTTTCTGTTAACAACCAGGGTAGCTTGGCAGATTTACCGTTGGCCGGAGGAAGTGAAACCCCTGCCAGGAAGAGTAAACCCTATTTCCTAAGCAGAACAGAACCGTTCTGGCCACCCGTAAATTCAGTCCCGTAACAAGCAAGGAGGAGAGGGAGGCTGGAGGAGGATCAAGGCCCATTCAGGTTAGGGAGGGGCAGGGGGATCTTCAGTCAGCTGTAGGAGCCTCCTTGTCAAGGCTGCTGGGGGCCAAAGGCCAAATCATTTGAAGGGCCACAGCGGTGCTTGTTTCTTTCCTGTAAGAGCTGATGTGTTTGTGGGGGGAGCCAGTTCCTGCAGTTCTCTGGGGCAAGAACTGGGACTTCGCTTTTGTCACGGTGTTGCCTTCTGTTTTTTTTCTCATACAACTGTGTCCACAGACTGGGCAGGCAGGAAGTGTGGAGCAGACCTTGGGAGCCCACAACCACAGGCAGGAGAAAGGGCACTCGGTGATTCTTCTGTTGTGTGAGCGGATCCACCAGAAGCAGCAAAATGCACGCTGAGGGTTTGGCAGGGCGTTTCGGAAAGAGCGAGGCAGGGTGGCTTTGGACCACTTGGCTCCCTGCCCCGCTTGTGAATTCCCAGGCTGCTCTTTTGCACTAGGGACCTCCCGCGGGGCCATTGTGTGGGGCTCGCCGGTGCCAGGAGTACACGGAGCGTTGCGACCGATGCCCGGCGAGGGATACGATCGTCCTGGCTTGTGGCCAGGGGTGGTGATTCAAGCTGCCCTTGCCCTGAATGGAATCGTTGGCCCGTTAAACCCAGGGCCGTGGATTGCGGGCAGAAGGGGTCTTCCCCAGCCCTGTTTTCTGAGGCCTTGGTAACTAGAGGACTTGGGTGTGCAAAGTAAGTGCCTAGCCCCAGAACGACGGCCTGCCTTGTTTTTTTCTGACGTGCTTAGAGTTAAGTCATAAAACTCCCAACTGGAAAAATGACTGGGGTGCAGCAGCAATGCTTATCTGTTGGAAGCGTGCACGAATAGGCACGGTGGATAAATGCATGGATAAAAACAGCCCCACACTTCGTTTTTTTCCTGACTCTTCTACCGTTTCTCCAAAAGCAGTGTTTTTATCTTTCTTCTTTGGGGTGAGGACTGTGCCTTCCCTCCCCCACTTCCCAATTGTACAAAAAAAACCCCACCACCCTTTGCCATGGAGAACGCTCCTGCCTTCGCAGGCCCAGCTGGGGCTGCCTTTCTCGCTTACTTCATGTATGACATAAAAAGATAAGTTCTGTCTTTTTTTTCATGTCGGGGGGACATACAAATAAGAGAGAAAGGGTAAGAGGAGATGGTACGTGGAAATGTGGCTGCTTATATTTAGGCTGGATTTTAGTTGCGAGGGCACTTCCTTTATGGGCCACTTTCTGCGTGGCATGAAGAGTGGTTTTCTCTGTGCTGGGCATGACGAAGCTATTCTCAGCTCAGCCAGCATCCCGCTGCTGGTGGCTGACTTTTCGGCCACCGTTTGTCCTGCACGCCGGTGGGGGCCTGCCTTCCCCTGGGTCTTGCATGTTGGGGTTCCCCGGATCGGGGTGCATTCTCGAATTTTTCAGGGGGGATCTGTTGCCACCCTGTATGACACAGCTTCACCTGAAAGGACGTTGACGCGATACGGCATTGGTAAGCCGGAAGATCAGTTGCCTTCCCCGCCGTCGGCCTTGCTGAATGTGGTGCCCGATGGCCCATATTCCAGCTCCCCAGTGGATTTCCTCTCCGCGCCTGTCCCAGCTGCCCCCCTGGAGGAGAGAGCTCCAGTTTTACATCTTTTCCACTAGCGTTTCCAGGTGCAGGTCATGGTAATAACCGACAATGACAATAAAAGATTTTGTGAATTTGCAGCTTGTGTCCTCTGACTTTGGCTTGCGAGCGGCCTTCCGTTAGATCCATGTTTCCCAAACTTGGCAACTTTAAGAGTTTCTAATTCTAATTCATGCCGGCTGGGGAATTCTGGGAGTTGAAGTCCACAGCTCTTCAAGTTGCCAAGTTTGAGAGACGCTGCATGATATGGAAGGTGGCAGCTGGTTGCTAATTCCACCCCACACTCACGCTTCTAGTGTGACACACCCGTCTTTTAAGGACACTCGGGTGATCTGGGCGAGTGTAATGATTCACTGGGCAACCAAATCTTTCTGCATACGTGTGCTCAGACTGTATTTGGCTATTACCGCCCCACTATAAAGAAATGGTTAAAAAATTAAAAACTTAAAAGTTCTGCCCACTTTGGCAATACCTGCCTGAAGCGCCCCCCTCAACTTGGTGGAAATTCTGCAGCCCCAATTTAAAGGAAGAAGCCTAAGAAAATTATAATCGTGCAATGAAAAAGGAAGGCGTTGCTACTTTAACGGGATCATTACTTATAATAACTGGATTTTAAAAAAAAAGTCCTCGCGTTGACAGTGCCACCAGGCGGTCCTTGAGTCCAGACGTCCATCTATCCGAAGCCGCTGCTTGGTTGGAGCCAGATTTAAAGGTTGAAGGTAGAACACAAAAGCCACAGCAGCATCTTTTGCGTTATTTCATTTTTTTCCCAATTAATTTTTATTAAAGAAGTTTTTTACAAAATAAAAAAAATACAAATTTAAAGAAAAAGGAAAGCAAAAGACAAGGGAGGGAATAAAAGGAAAGAAGATACAAAGAAGTGGCTTCCGATCTTTACAGCAGTTATAGAGGCATTCGAATTTTATCCTTCCTCTAAGGTTACATCATGGCTCCCTCCTTTCCATAATCGACCCTTTCTAATCGTCAACCCCATAAATCACAAATTCATTTCCCCCCCATTTTGAGCAAATAAATCCATAAGGGGTTTCCAATCACTGACAAATGAAGTTGTCTTTTCTCAAATAAAGCAAGTCAATTCTGCCATCTCTGCAAATTCTGCCATTCCTCCGCTGTGGGTATTTCAGACTCTTTCCATCCTTCTGCATATAACACCCTCGCTGCGATCACTGTGTACCAAAACAGTCGTCCGTGGGCCTTTTCGAATTGTCTGTCCATTAGTCCCAGCAGTTCTGGTTTCAGTTGAATATTAATCTTTGAAATTCTTTGTATCGTGGTGTGTACTTGAACCCAAAATTTTCTGGTTTTTTTACAAGTCCACCAGGCATGATGAAATGGCCCTTCCTGTTTTCCACACTTCCAACCTAGACTTGAAGTGCCTTTATACCTTCTAGATAATTTTTCTGGAGTCGCGTACCAACGGTACCTCGTTTTATAAGGATTCTCTTTTCGTTATCATGCACGTTTCAGTCCTTGCACCCCCATGTCTTCCCATCCTTCCATCGGGGTGTTACGACCGAAGTCCTTAGCTTCGGGAGGGCATCTCCAAGGGGGCGCCCCCGGGCACACGTTGCAACGGTAACGTTCCCAGCCTG